TCCGGCTGGGCAGCCGCGCCGTCATGTACACGGCCGAGACCCTGCCCAAGGGCAAGAACCGCGTCATGGGGGTGAGTTTGGGGGGATCGGGGGGAGAAACGCTTGGAAAATCCCCCCTCAGCCCCTTCCGGGGGGTTCCTGCTGATCCCTCGGGGGGTGCTGTGTCTTTGGAGAGGCGCTGGGATTAAGGCATCCCCCATCCCCAGGGTGGCTCTGTGGGCAGGGGGGGTTGAGTTGACCCCATTCCCACCCACCCCGCTCTTCCAGACCATCCAGATTATGATGGGATTCCTTCACATCGGCTTCGGGATCGTCCTGACCACACTCACCAATGTCTACACCTCTGTCTTCGTCATCGGAGAGATCCCTTTCCTGGGCGGCGTGTCGGTGAGTGCCAGGGGGCTGGGAAGGGATTCCCACCGGGAAAAGAATGCCTGGGGGGGTGGGATGCCCACCGGGAAGGGAATCTCACCAGGGAACGATGCCCACAAGGAAGGGAATCCTGCTGGGGGGATGGCAGCAGGTGGGACACCCGTTGGAAGGGATGCCCACCGGGAATGATGCACCTGCAGCTCCCGAGGATTTGGCAGCTGGAGAACAAGGGCAGGGGGGTCACTGTGTCCCTGTGCCCGGTCAGTGCCACCTGTGGGCAGGTTTGGGGTGCCTGGGGTGCCCTCCGTGCCAGCTGAGCCCATCTCTCCTGCTGCAGTTCATCATCTCCGGGTGCCTCTCCATCGGCGCCGAGAAGAGTCCCACGGAATGCGCGGTGAGTTTTCCTGGGAGCACACCGGGAGTGATCCTGTGGGGTGGGTGGAGTGTCCCTCTGGGGCACCCCCAGAGGGAGTCTGCCACCCCCCCCAAACCCCCTGGGTGCCCACAGGTGAAGGGCAGCCAGACCATGAATGTCATCAGTGCCATCTTCGCTCTCCTGGGAATCGTGGCCTTCATCGTGGACCTCAACCTCAACGGGCTCTACCGCTCCAGCCTCAACTCCTGCAGCTATCTCATCCTGGTAAAATCCCACTTGCCGCAATTCCTGCCCCTGGGAATTCCCCTGGGGCCTTT